GATATTTTAGGAAATTAAGCCGTTCCATAAAAGACGAGCTATTAACCGACAAAATAGCCGTAGAAACCCTTATGTGTCTAGTATCAAAAAACAGCTTATAAAAAATTTAATTATAACTTACACAAATATACATGGTGATGCATTTGAAATGTTTGAGAAACACTATAATTTGCGTTTTGAGCAAAAATCAAAGTTTGAAAAAGTAACAAATAAGATAAAAGCTGAAGTGCGTAAGTTCTTTTTGATACAAAATTCAGCACTCCAAATTTCAAAATGGCGGACTGAGGGGTTGCCGAGGTAGGGGTTTTTTCTAGACAAAACACCTTATATCTCAGTAGCTAATTACCAAAACCCCATAGTATGTTATATCAATTTTCTTCTTTTGAATTGGTTTATTCAAATATGAAATAAAATTTGAGGCGTTCCATTTGAAAAATCACAACTTTGATATGTAAGTCGAAATGGGGACACCCTGTATAATGGGCAATATTTTATAAATGTGCCCTCAAATATCTATATCATCCCATAAATAGATTTTCCCAAAATATTTATGAGTAATATTCCGTCCACATATGGATGGGCCACCGTGTATATATGTTATATGCCCTTAGTTACTACGCATTTATTAAGTAAGCTTACATTGTTGCACTAGACGCTGGGGTTAGCATAAGATAACAACTTCTCGCTAATCAGTTTCTCTATTTTCAATGGATCTATTGTTTGTCCATTGTCCATTGTGTATTTCTCCTGATCCTTAGTCAGCAGCCTAAATTGTATAAATAAAGAGTGTTCGTTAGATACCCGGCTAGACTCCGTTATAGTCATTTGTAGTCTTTGTAACTTGTAATTTGTAACGGACTGAATTACAGTCCTCGAATAAAGTATTTTTCAAAGTTATCAATTTAACAATTTGGTGTGAAGTGGGATAGCTTCAACGCATTAGAACACGCGAACGCTCACTAGTGCGTTGGATCCCTATCCTTCAATCTACAAAAGAACCACGAGCCTTCAAAGAAGAAAAGAAGAAAAAAAAAAAGGAGAAAAGAAACCCCAGGCTACACAGCGAGCAGCAGCCACCCAACTACGAGAGCAGCACCCTTCAGAAACATCGAAAGAGATCTGCTGGACAGACTCTTGGATAACGCGACTGCTTCCAGATGTACGCCTGGTAACGTACAATTTTAAGTAATCACTATTTCTTTGCGATCTATCTCTGTGTGTATCATATTTTTTGCATCATTTGTTTACATTTTTACGATTTTTCTACGAATTTTTCCCATTCTACGTATTCTTTCCCAAGTGATTTTTCCAATTTTATATCCTTATTTTTGCACATTTGCCTTTTTTCTAGCGACATTTTTGTGTTTTTATTAAAAGCAGATTTTCCATAAAACATTCGCAATGTCCACTCACGAGTCAGAAGACTACCAATCCCCAGCAATTCCTGATAATGCTCATGCGAACCTTGAACCGTACCGACTATCAGAAATCTTTTCCATTGTGCCGGAATATGACGGTAACCCTATATTGCTTTCCACATTTATCAACGCCTGTCGCACTGCCTATCAAATGGCAGTCAAAGAACAACGTATCCTCGCTGTTCTGTATATTAAAAATAAATTAGGTGGGCCAGCCGCCGAGCTAGTCAATTCACGCAACCCATCGCCCTGGGAAGATATTCGGTCACTTTTAGGGACGCATTTTGGAGATCTCCGATATCTCACTTTCTTGATCGCTGACTTACAGCACCTTAGACAACTCCCTAACGAATCCCCACTCACTTTTGCGCCAAGGTTGCAAACGCACGCAGCCAAAATGCATTCCGCCGTGAATCGCCAAAATCTGAACCGAGAGCAGAAAGCTGCTCAGAGTTCCTTAATCGAGACTATGACCCTCAACTGTCTTTTGACAGGCCTCGATTCAAAAATCGGACTTGTCGTAAGATCTGGTCACCCTCTGAAAGTATGCAACTATTGTCATAGACCAGGACATTTAGCTAATGAATGTCAGCGCAGACAACAGTCTTTCAATACCTTTTCGAGACCAACATATCAACCCCAGTCATTTTGACAAAACATTCCTAGGCCTAATCCACCTATGCAAGGTAATAGACTTCGCAATGGTAATTATCAATACGCTTCAAGACCTTCGGTCATAAGGCCGAACGTGCCCAACACGAGTGCCCCCAGACCATCTGTTATACAACAGAACCCTCACTTCTTAAACCAACATTTCCTAAAGAAACTTTAGGCCGAACTCTCAAAATCGCATTAACTACGTCGCTCCAGATTCCTACGAATATTCCGATTATAATGAACATGATCCATATAATACCGATTATGCCAGCGCGTATGAAACTCAATACTCTGCTTATACGCCTACACCATACGACGACTTCATCGTGTTGTTATGTTACGAGTACGAGCAGAATGCCGACAAAGACGATAATGCTTATCCGAATCCGCAATGTTAGGATTTTCAAACGCCCCCTTTGAAAGACTAACCTGCGAATTGCGACGACAATCTAGACCATATGATTGCGAGCCTACAAAAGCTCAATGTCAAGGACCCCAGAGCGACGTTAGCACAAGACCAAATGTTTGTGTAAGCAAGCCTCCAATTATAGTCCCGTCGACTGTCTTTCCGTTAGTCCAGATAATCTGTACTATATTAAAGACGCGACTGGAAAATTCTAAATTCTTATTGACAGTGGTGCCGGTTATTCCATTTTTAAGCGGAATACCTGCCAAAATTATACCAAACGTGTAACGGAAAATATCTCTATCCGAGGTATTTCTGATGAGAAATTTTCCATTACAGAAGCAGTTCTTAGACCCTTTTGTCCCTAACGATTATCATAAAATCTACATTTGTGATTTGGATATTGCCTTCGATGGTCTTCTTGGATCAGATTTCCTTGAACACTACGATTGTATTATCGATTTTCAAAATCGAAATTCAAAACTATTCCTCTTTTTAATGTTGGCGACGGAAATGTCCCCCAAATTTCCGAATTCCAAGAAATTTCCCAAATTCAAAATAATATTTCCATTTCCCCCAGAGTTCAACAAGTTGTTAAGCTCAAATCCGAGTTTAGAAATACCGAAGTAATTCTTCTGGCATGTGAGATAGAAAAAATCCGTCTACCTAGTTCCATTTAAAAATTGATGATAAAGGCGAATTTCTCACTACAGTCTTATACTGTAACGCCATTTCCAAAAACGTAATTTTGCCCCAATTAGAATCCGAATCGTTCAACGAAACATCAGTCAAGAATTTCAACACATCTTTACATGATCAATGACAGTATAACCGTAGAGATGCTATTAGAGATCAGTTGCGTCTCGATCATCTTAACGATGAAGAAAGGGAACTTATTACTAATCTCTGCCTAGACTATACAGATATATTTTATTTCGAAGGTGACAATATGTCATTCACAGGTGAAATCAAGCACTCCATTGACACTTCTACCAACAAACCTATCTTTACCAAATCCTATTGTTATCCTCATGTTCACAAACAGGAAGTTAACCCTCCAGGGGTCGCGCGGCCTCAAACAACGTCATCGGTCGCGTGTATAGACGTTATCTAACATAAGGCGCGCAATTAGATTTTTTCTAAAAAGTTAATTTTCTATATTTTTGGAATAAAAGCAATATTTTTTAATTGGTATTGTATATATTTTATTAAAAACAGAGAAAATAAGAATCTAACTATAGAATTAACTTTTATGTGTTATGATAAACAGAGGAAATAAGAATCTAATTCTCTTCTCCAACATCATTACATTCTTTACAAATAAAAATTGTTGATAAGGTATGCTCTTTACAGATAGGTGTTTGACAGCGGTCACACTTATGTTGTGTAAATCTATTTTTCCATGTTTGGCAATATCCGCACCTTGGTTTCTGCTCTGGATTCTGTGGGGGTGTATTTTTCTTTTGAATGCCAGTCATCGATCGAATTTTTTGTCCAAGAGAAAAAGAAATATTTGTAAGGGAAGCTCGTATCATCATGTGTGGTCTTATAAGCTCTTTTGCCAAATATGTAATGAATGCGCGTCTTGGTATAGTTTTTCCTGCATTGCACTTGTATATAATTTGGGAATTTATTGTAGCTATATTTAGGAAGCTGCAAAATACAGTGAAAGGCCAACGATTACTGAAACGGGTGACAGAATATTCCGCCTTCATTTTATCCGCAACATCAACGCCTCCCTTCGTAAGGTTGTAGAAGGTTATTACCTCTGGCTTTTGCTCTCTCGAATCTGGATCTATGGTGTCACTATCATGAAACGTAGATAGCAGGAGGACGTTCTTATGCTTCTTAGGGATAAACGATGTTAGAGTGCATTTATTTTGTCTATACCATTTGCGCACATAGTACTATGTATAGGCCGTGATTTAGTTTGTAGAAAGTCTCCAGGGATTTCCCGTTTATTTTTTCTAATGGTGCCCACATAAGTCATTTTATGGTTATGGTATAACTCGTTAGCGAGAGAAACAGATGTGAAGTAATTGTCCGCAGTAATATTTCTGCCCGATTTGTTTATTGGTTTTATAAGCCGTTTCACAACGCTTGCTGCATCCTTAGCTAGTTGATAAGGGCTTGCCCGCATAAATTTCCAAATTATGTACGTAAAATGTTCTGGCATCGGTAAGTGCATAAATCTTTATGCCATACTTGGCCGGCTTATTACTAATGTACTGACGAAAGCGACAACGACCTCTAAACGCTTCTAACATCTCATCTATAGTAACATTCTGTGCGGGACTGTAACTACTAGAGCATTTGGCTACAAACATTTCATATATATTTCGAATAGGCGCCAGGTTATCCAGCTTTGATCGCTCTTCTCGAATATCTTTATCATCAAATCTGATTGCTCGCATAAGGATATGGAAGCGCTTTTGAGACATTGTTGCCGGAAAATAGTCTGATGCTGTACCATCTGTTGCCCAGAGTTCGCTCGTATTGAGGTGTTGTGCCCTTTTCACACCTGCTAGGTAAAGTAGACCTATAAACGCCATTATTTCTTCTAAATCTGTAGGTAAACAGTCTCTTGGACGCCCGTAGGAGACTCGCATTTGATCCAGTTTTTGATTTGTACTCTGAACTAGAGTGTTGATCATCATATCCATGGGAAAAAATATTTTCCAGCAATCCATAATTTCTTTCGTTCTCTTCGCTTCTCCTATTACACCTGGAAGCTTGATCACTATATTTTGAACACAAGTTTTTGTTCGGAGACTAGGTGGTTTGTGTTTTAGCCATGGTGTGCCATCCTTTCCAGTGAAATGCGGTATTTTCTTCAAAGCAGATAGAGATATAGGTAAACAAATATCCTCGTCATCAGAGTCCGAGGATTGCTCCGTATTAGTATCATGCAAACTGTGTTCAGAGGCAGCGTCATCTATGTCTAACTCGGACCCTACATCTGATTCAATTTCTTCGTACCATTGCTGCCATTTGGCTTCTGTTCTTGGTGAAATCATATCTGGAAAGACCAATAATAAGTCTAATTATTGACGAAATTTGACCTGCCGTATAGTTATTTACAAGACAAAATAAAATCGAATCAAGAATATGATAAAAATTATGTCAAGGAATTCATAGAAAACGAGAAACCATGACAGACATATCAAAATCATAATCATTCCAGTAAAATAAAAAAGTTTGACAAAGCAACGCCACAAAAAAATGAGCTTTGACCCCTTAGCAATATTTAAAATTATCCTTTTGTATTAGTTACGTGACAGTTCAACTTACAAAGATTATCGAAAAAATCACATACGGGATAGGTCGCACCGTTAGATTCTTCCTAACACTTTTGAACAACGTGATCGGTCGCGCGTTAGATATACGTATATACTAAAATTATCAAATTCAAGATGACTATTTACTTTATTTGCACGCGAATTATGCATAGATGTTGCCTAGCGACACCTATGAGGCATTCCAGGAGTCTCAAGGCTATAATACGAATTTTTAATAAGAACTCTGTAGTGAATTATATTTTGTTAGATTTTTTCTAACACCGAGACTGATGGAGGGTTAAAAACCAGATTTCTAAATTATTGAAACAGGGAATTATTGAGCATTCCCAGAGTTCGTGGTCAGCACCAGTGTGGGTCGTCCCAAAGAAAATGGACGCCTCAGGAAAACAAAAATGGCGTGTGGTGATTGACTATCGTAAATTGAACGAAATCACCATAGATGACAAATACCCTCTGCCAAACATTTCCGATCTACTTGATCAGTTAGGGAAGTGCCAGTATTTTAGTACACTGGACTTGGCATCTGGATTTCATCAAATCGAGATAAATCCAGTTGATGTCCCGAAAACTGCCTTCTCAGTAGAGAATGGACATTATCACTTCTTGAGAATGCCTTTAGGACTCAAGAATGCTCCAGCCACATTCCAACGTGTGATGGACAATATCCTGATGGGTATACAAAACGAAAGGTGTCTTGTATATATGGACGACATAATCGTCTAGTCCCCCTCCATTCAGGAACACATCAGCCGACTCTCTGAAATTTTCAACCGCCTTCGGAAATCTAATTTAAAAATCCAGCCAGATACGTGCGAATTCCTTAGAACGGAAGTAGCCTATCTTGGACACGTTATAACCCCAGATGGCGTTAAGCCCAATCCTGATAAAGTGGATTGTATACAAAATTTTCACCAGCCAATGAATCCTAAAGGTATAAAATCCTTTTTAGGCCTCGCCGGTTATTACCGACGTTTTATTCCCAACTTCGCCTAAATAGCGAAACCCTTGACTAGACTATTGCAAAAAGATGCGACATTCGACTTCGATAGCGAATGTGTCAAGTCATTCGAAACCTTGAAAAACGCTTTAATTACATCCCCGATCCCAATTTATCCCAATTTTGAAGAGCGATTTGTGCTCACAACAGACGCAAGCGCCTTTGCAATTTCTGGCGTTTTGTGACAAGGACCTATTGGAAAGGATCTTCCAATAGCCTATGCATCTCGTACGCTCGGTAAAGCTGAAACGAGATATTCCACAATAGAACGCGAACTATTAGCTATAGTTTGGTCAGTGAAACATTTCAGACTCTATCTATATGGTGAAAAGTTCAAGCTTGTTACAGACCATAGACACCTTACGTGACTTTTCTCCTACCGGGACAACGGAAGTAGATCAGCAAGATGGCGCCTCAACTTAGAGGAGTACGACTACGAAATAGTGTACAAGCCAGGCAAGGCTAATAAAAATGCCGACGCCCTATCACGTATAAACTTACCCAATACAGTCAATGCTCTCACCCAAAGTGATAAGGAAGGAGAACCTTCCATCCAATTTTCTGAATCCGAATTTGACATCTTTGCCCCTCTGTACAAAAACAACATCTTTAATCAATTATTCCAAAATTCAATTTTCCAATTCCCAGCTTTTGGACAAGAGCCATAAGCATGTAGTCACATTCTTTAGGAAAAATACACTTTCTGATCTTCACGAAAAGGTCATAGAGGATGTATTTGAGGAAAACCTTGAGTTTTCCGCTGACAAAATTAACATCGCGTCAAGCAAAACGGTCAAATACAGAAAATATTTCATTATTCCCGTACCATATGATCCCGCAACTTGCGTACAACATCTTTTCACTCTAGTCCTGAACAATAAAAGCATTTTCGATTTATCCCAACAGATCTATGTTGAAAATAACTTACATCTGCCCATTTCAGAAATGTTTTCTTTCATTTTTTCTGACGACAACATTAAGCTTGTTGTTTGTCAAAATATCACAAAAACCCCTAGTTCCGACGAGCATCCCTTCAATATCCTACCCTACGCGATTAAGTGCTACAGTAGCACCAGAAATAAAACTACAGGCCAGGACGGACGAGCAAAAACGAAAAGCTAAAATTCGTTTCGACAGTAGAGTATCACCGAATTTGCAATCATACAAAGTTGGTGATAAAGTCTTTGTCAAACAATCCCAAATTTCCAATAAACTTCAAAATAAATATGGCGGCCCTTTCGAAGTATAATATAATAATAATAATAATCCTTTATTATCCAATACACATAAGTATGCATAGGATTCGTCAAAAATAAAAAACCTATAACAAACATGGAAAATAAGTAACAAACAAATATGAGAAACAAACATACCATCTACACATTAACAAACTCTGAAACAGCGTACAAACCTTTATTTAATAAAAAGTCCTTTAACCTATTTTTAAAATGTGAACTGCAGATTTTTATTTCTTCTGGCAGTTTATTATATATTTTAGGCCCCAAAACTCTAGGTGACCTACTACCGACACAGTATTTGGCGAAAGGAACATACATATTTTCACTCTGCCTTGTTATGAAGGCATTTATATCCTTGTTAAGTAGTTGTGTATCCTTATTTTGATACACAAGTCACTCAAGTTTTTGAAATTTCAGCGCTTCTCAAAAATCCAGAAACAGACAGAATTACTAAAGTTAATTTCGATAGACTGAAACCATGTTTTGAGACTTTGTTTCTCTTTCAGGTGCAGTCTGCTGTCAACAATGCTTTGGGCATTTATTTCCATGAGGATTACCCTTTTAAAATTTCGAATGAAGTTTGGACCCTTCTAGTTTACAAAGACCTTGATCTTATCAAAAAATCCCTCGACGATAACAACTATATTTTAGAACGTCTATATTCTCTTCCGGATGAACAAACCAACCTCATGAAAAATTTCAAAGGTGAAATTAAGACGCATATTAGTCTCCTCCGTCAAATCTCCCGTTCCCTAGAATTAAAATATTACGAGATGTTCGATGACACAACTTGCACATGGCGAATGAAACGCGGACTCATTAATGCTGCAGGCACTTTCTGGAAAACAATAACAGGTAACCGTGATTCATCTGATGGTGAATATTATAATGACTGCAATAACAACATTTCTAAAAATGGACATGAGCTTGAAAACCTCATGAAAAATCAAATTTCTGTGACCATGTCGGTTATCAAGAATTTCAACAATACAGGTCGGAAGTTGCAAATTGACGAAGCTACATTCAAGACAAAATTATCATAATTTCTTGACGCTAGATTCAAATTTTTAGAAATATGCGAGCAACTTATGGAGAGTTACATGTTTCTTGAAGAAACGATTAACGACATTCTAAATTCCATTACTTTAGCTCGTTTGAAAATAATCCATCCCTCAATTATTACTCTTCATGATTTAGTGAATTCCCTTCAGGAAATCTCACACACTTTGTCAAAAAACAACTTGCCCTTGCCAGTCGATTGAGCAATGATATCTGAATATCTCAATCTCATGGAACTAGAGGCATATCAGAATAAAACAAAAGTAGTTTTCGTTTTAAGAACCCCTTTATTAGAACGAGAAATTTACACCCTGTATAAAGTTATTCCTCTGCCCATTCCAGATAGCCGCACAGGCTTATTTCATGTTATTTCTACAATACAGAGATACGTTGCCAAGGATAGCGATTCGCTATTGTACGCGTCCTTCCAAAATTTAGACAATTGCAAAATCCTTACAAGTCAAATCGAAATTTGTGTCTGTGAAGCACAGTTCTTGCGAAACCCGGTTGGTCTGCCGAATGCATGTCAGATAGCTATTGTGGCCTTACAGGATTATAAAATACAAGAATTAGCAACCAATTTTTGGCTGATTACAATATCTAGCCCGTTGCCCATAACCATGAAATGTGGACAAAGAGAGACAACCACAAAAGTGATAAAAGCTAATTCACTCTTAAAGATGCAACCCGGATGCAGTGGATTTGTAGGTACTACTAGACTTCATGCCAGATATTCTCCCAACACTTATAAGAATATCACATTCAGGGACTACCCTGTAGAGATACCTTACAATTGCTGCAAACACTTACCAGACAAACATAAACTGACAAAATTAAAGCCGATCAAGTTGAATAAGATCGACACTGAAGAATTAGAAATAGCCAACCACAAGTTGAATCAGTTCTCCGAACGAATTGACAAAACTATCAACGAGCCCTTCGTATCCAGACATCTCTCATGGTTCACATATTCCATAATTGCCGTATTAGTTATCATCATGGCACTGTACCTGTTCTGCAAGTGCAGAAGACGTCGACCACTCAGTATCTGTGCGCCGAAATATCCAACCGATGGCCCATCTCCAGGAACCTCGAAAACTCAGATTTTTCTTCGTGGAACATCGACCATCCAACCATAAGAAGAAGACATTGAACTACAGTGATTCTGTGAGTGAAGTGTTTTCACTGTCCAAAATTTGAATTACCATTTTTAATTTTTTTCATAGGCCCTGTATTTCTCAACGTTTATTTGTTCTAGCTTTTGCTTCATATTTAGATGCTATTTTGCATCACCTGTATACCGTATGCTAATAATTGTATTTCTCAGAATTTGTATTTGTGATTTTATTTTGTTGCAACCTGTATATTGCAATTTTATTATTTGTAACCTTTTACACTTTTATACTTTACAACTTTATATTTTTACAATTTTACAATGTTTTACAATATTCACTTTTTTAGTATTTTGTACTTTCCAATTATTCTATTTTTGATCAAAAGCTGTCGCATAGCAACAACTTTTTATAATAGGGGGGAGTTGTTATATGCCCTTAGTAACTACGCAGTTATTAAGTAAGATTTCATTGTTGCACTAGACGCGGCGTTAGCATAAGAAAACAACTTCTCGCTAATCAGTTGTTTGCCTCGTGTCTCTATTTTCTATGGACCTATTGTTGTCCATTTTCCATTGTGTATTTCTGTTGATCCTTAGTCTGCAGCCTAAATTGTATAAATAGGTCTGCCGACATTTGAAGAGTGTTCATTAGATACCCGGCTAGACTCCGTTATAGTCAGTTGTAATCTTTGTAACTTGTAATTTGTAACGGACTGAATTACAGTCCTCGAATAAAGTTTTCAAAAAGTCTTTTTCAAAGTTATCAATTTAACATATACATATATATATATATATATATATATATATGTGAGCCTTTCGCTGAATCGCTACGCTACGCCATCGAATATGTTTTGTCTATTGAATATGTTTTGTTTACTTCTGGCGACCGTAAATATTCCGATGTGCTGCGATGTGTTTTTGTGGGCAAGGTGGTTAGTCATAGTCAGTCTTGTAACAGATGCTGGAGTGAATACATGTGATACAAGTTATGAAGTGTTTGATTTTCCCTAAGAAAATGATAATTTTCTCACATCAGAAGTGGGATTCAACTCGCTAAAAGGACCACAGAAGAAACACATAGTGCAACCTGACTTATTTCGAGTGTGCGTGCGTGAGCAATTCATTGTCCTGAGCGTATATACCTAGTGAGCGTTACTTTTGGCAGTGATACTTATGTACTTAAGTGCTAAAAGTCTGTCGAAATGGAGGAATTAACCAGCGTTTTAACTGCAGTTCTTCGAGGAATTCAGCAGCAACCCCAACAAGCCGCAGCGGCGCCGGTGGTGCCAGCACCCTCTGCGCCAATTAACATTCCAGCTTTCGATCCCTCAAAAAGCGATGCGGGAGCGATGGGTTGGTGCGACGATATGGAGACCTTGGCGACCACGTTCAAGTGGACTGATTTTGAACAGCTTTGCAGAGCCGCGGGTGCCCTGGAAGGTGACGCAAAGGATTGGTATGACAACTGGCACCCGTCAAATAAAGTTTGGGCTAGTTTCTGGGCCGAGCTTTGTCAGCTTTATCCTGCGAAGAGGAATCTTAGTGAGCGGTTACGTAAAGCTAGTATATACAGAAGTGACCAAGCCACGGGATATTGTGAGTACGCAAGGAAAAAAATATCTTTGTTAAACTCTCTAGATTTTAATTTGAGTGATAGTCAAATAGTTGAGATAGTTATTGGTGATATAACGGACACACATGTCAAAACAGCTGCTTTTAATAGTAGAGTTGATTCCATTTCGACCTTACTTAACTTGCTTAGCAACTATCAAATTAATAAACAAGACTCTCAGCTTCAAGTAGGTGCGCCAAAACGCCCGAATCCGTTTAAACATAATGATGAGGGAAAAATATGTTATTCCTGTAAACAACCTGGTCATATCAGCCGGAATTGTTTTAAATCGCTTAAATTATTTAAATACGATAATACTAATAAGGCGAGAAGCTGAAATAATCTGCCAGGTATTGCGAAACCCTGTGAGATCTGTAAGAAATTCGGGCATAATTCTGAAAATGCTTCATCAAAAGTGAAAATAAAGCAGAGAAGTCGTCCAGATTCTCCAAAATAAACTATTTCTGCGTAGATGTAGATAAAATGACTTTTGCATAAAATTCAAAATACAAAATTTGACCGTAAACTGTTTGATCGACACGGGTGCAGAATGTAGTTTGCTATCCGAAAAAGTCGCCCATAAATTACACTGTCATTTCGAACCAACTTTCATAATGTTAAAGGGTGTAGGAGGCAACTCAATACCAAGTTGTCAAAGGGCTAATTTACTAGTTGAGATAGAGGGGACGGCATTTGAAATTAGTTTTTATGTTGTCGAAACTTCTGTTATGGAATTAGATGCAATTTTGGGTAGAGATTTATTTAATCATAAAGGAATCAGAATTTGCACTGACTCATGTGGGTCTAGAATTTATCTCGATGACACAAATAACATAGAATCTAAAAAGATTCAAAACGTAACAATTTCTCCCGAGAAAATTCAATCACCACTGAATGGACATGATTTCGACGCCTTGTTGAAATTATTATCAAAATATAGCGATTCTATAACTGTTGGTAATTCCGTGAGGGCGGTAACAACCGGTGAAATGGAAATCAAATTAAAAACCGATAAAATAATTTGTTATAACCCTTACCGAATGTCATTGTCCGAACGACAAAAGGTAAAAGATATTATTGACGACCTCTTGCAAAACAATATCATACGTGAAAGCACGTCGCCTTTTGCTAGTCCAGTTATTCTGGTGTACAAAAAAGATGGCAGCCGACGTTTATGCGTAGACTATCGCGCCCTTAATGGAATAACCATTAAAGATCGGTTTCCATTGCCACTTATAGACGACCAAATTGATCAGCTGGGGGGAAGCAAGTATTTTACGACTCTCGATATGGCAGCGGGGTTTCATCAAATTCCTATGGCAGAAAACTCTATTTCCAAAACAGCTTTTGTCACGCCTGATGGGCGTTTTGAATACCTGCGTTCACCATTTGGTCTATCGAATTCCCCTGCAGTATTTCAACGGGCGATTTGTAAAGCTCTGGGTAAGCTCAAAGATACCGATGCGCGCTGGTTTATATGGACGACGTAATCATTCCATCAAAAACCATCCAGACAGGTTTAGAAAAACTTGATCGGATCCTAGCGTCCCTTACCTCAGCGGGCTTCAGCTTAAACATTAACAAATGCAAATTTTTTCAGAAAAAAATTGTTTATCTTGGTCGAGAAATTTCCGAAGATGGTGTAAGGCCCGACGAAGGAAAATTAAAAGCTTTATTCAATGCGCCCAATCCAAAAAATGTAAAACAGGTCCGCCAATTTATGGGCCTAGCCGGGTACTTTCGCAAGTACATCCCTGAATTTTCAACGCGCACAGCTTGTATTACAAACCTAACAAAAAAAGGAGTCGATTTTGAGTGGGGAACCGAACAAGTAAAAGGGTTACTCTCAAAATTAAACATTACCCAACATCTAATTGCCAAAAGTGCCCCACGCGGAAATGGGCAGGTAGAGCGATACGTCTCAACAGTTCTAGACCTGCTCAGAGTAAATGTCAATAATAATAAGTCAGAATGGGCGAGCGTTCTCCCCAAGTTACAACTGACCCTTAATACTACTATCCAAAAAACCACGGGATTTTCCCCGCTCTATTTGTTAACAGGGCAACTTATGAATACCATGGACATTCAGAATTTAACAGAGAGTATAAAACCAGTGACGACTACTGATCAAAATTTAATTAATGATCGTAAAACTGCCTATGAACGCTCTCTGCGTTGCGGTTTAGAGTCAAAAGACAGATTTGATAAAAGCCGAAAAACAACTAACAGTTTTAAAGTAGGAGACATAGTTTTCCATCCATCTGGAAATTCGCACCTAGCTAAACTAGACCCTACATACGAAGGTCCATTCGAAATCTTACAGTTGTTGCCTAATGACCGAGTAGAAATTAAAAATTTGGCGACCAATCTATAACCGTGTGAGCCTTGATATTACAAAAACCTGACAAAATAAATTAATAAAAAAAAAAGTTTTGGGTTGAAAGACGTGCTCTTTGCATCAAGGTAATGAGACCTTGACTGCTGAAATGACGTGCTCTTTACCTTGCTGGATCATAAAAGCTTGCTACTTGTTGAAAGACGTGCTCTTTGCGACAAGGTCATTAGGACTTGATCGTTGAAATGACGTGCTCTTTGCAATAGTGAGTGATGTATCGTTAAAAGCTGAAAGACGTGCTCTTTGCGTTTAGATCGTGAGGGTCTAATCGTTGAAATGACGTGCTCTTTGCAATGGTGAATGATGTATCGTTAAAAGTTGAAATGACGTGCTCTTTGCTACATTATATAGTCTAAATGGTGTTCTTGTAACATGGGTCAGGAGGTAAAATTCGAGAACGAATTTAGTGTCAGGATTGGCCGTGTGAGCCTTTCGCTGAATCGCTACGCTACGCCATCGAATATGTTTTGTCTATTGAATATGTTTTGTCTATTGAATATGTTTTGTCTATTGAATATGTTTTGTTTACTTCTGGCGACCGTAAATATTCCGATGTGCTGCGATGTGTTTTTGTGGGCAAGGTGGTTAGTCATAGTCAGTCTTGTAACAGATGCTGGAGTGAATACATGTGATACAAGTTATGAAGTGTTTGATTTTCCCTAAGAAAATGATAATTTTCTCACATATATATATATATATATATATATATATATATAAGTGACTTTGAAGTTGAGTCATTAATTTTCAGATAATGATTGTAGAATGAAGATGAACCAAAATATGTGTGTAAAAATAAAAAAAAATAAAAAAAATGTTACCTTGTTTTATAAAGAATCCTCCCGACAAGTATTTCAGTGCGGACCTGTATTTGATCGTGCGGTCTTGGAGCACCGGCATGCCCTCCCCTGTGAGGTCTTAAGTCACCTGATTCACGGGCCCTTTGTACTACATTAACAAAGGCCGAGGGGTTGGTTGCACTCGATTGGGAAACCGATCCGCATAAATTCGTGATGCCGCGGCAGCATTTTGTAAAGACTCCCCCCCCCCCGTAAATAAGAATAATGTCCACAAGTTCAGCATTTTCATAAACTTGTGCCATTTTTTATTTCGTTTGAGCCACGCAACAAACACCACTATTCACTCACGCGTTACCTACTGACAGATTGACTGAATACAACCGAATAAGCGTTTCAAATTCTTTCGCTAAAGGGCTATAACTTTGTTAGTTTAATTTTACCAGAAAAATGTTAAAGGAAAAAACATTTCTTTTGATCAGATCTACTCACTGTTAAAATAAATGACTCAACTTCGAAGTCACCCTGTATATATATATGTGAGAAAATTATCATTTTCCTAGGGAAAATCAAACACTTCATAACTTCTATTACATGTATTCACTCCAGCATCTGTTACAAGACTGACTATGACTAACCACCTTGCCCACAAAAACACATCGCAGCACATCGGAATATTCACGGTCGCCAGAAGTAAACAAAACATATTCAATAGACAAAACATATTCAATAGACAAAACATATTCGATGGCGTAGCGTAGCGATTCAGCGAAAGGCTCACACGGCCAATCCTGACACTAAATTCGTTCTCGAATTATACCTCCTGACCCATGTTACAAGAACACCATTTAGACTATATAATGTAGCAAAGAGCACGTCATTTCAACGTTTAGACCCTCACGATCTAAACGCAAAGAGCACGTCTTTCAGCTTTTAACGATACATCACTCACTATTGCAAAGAGCACGTCATTTCAACGATCAAGTCCTAAAGACCTTGTCGCAAAGAGTACGTCTTTCAACAAGTAGCAAGGTTTTCTAACCAGCAAGGTAAAGAGCACGTCATTTCAGCAGTCAAGGTCTCATTACCTTGATGCAAAGAGCACGTCTTTCAACCCAAAACTTTTTTTTTTTTACTAATTTATTTTGTCAGGTTTTTGTAATATCAAGGCTCACACGGTTATAGCCTAACAAATACTTTATAATAACAACAACGTAAATCATAGTCATTATTCATGTCTCTAAATATAACATACAACATTCTCATAATACCAACAAAAGAATGTACAAAAAGGGATAATCAAATAACAATGGTTATTAAATGTTATCTTATTCAAATTCACCTGGCCATACCCGCATCATATCATTAGCAACAATTCTTTTGCGATTGGTCGCCAAATTTTTAATTTCTACTCGGTCATTAGGCAACAACTGTAAGATTTCGAATGGACCTTCGTATCCAGGGTCTAGTTTAGCTAGGTGCGAATTTCCAGATGGATGGAAAACTATGTCTCCTACTTTAAAACTGTTAGTTGTTTTTCGGCTTTTATCAAATCTGTCTTTTGACTCTAAACCGCAACGCAGAGAGCGTTCGTAGGCAGTTTTACGATCATTAATTAAATTGTGATCAGTAGTCGTCACTGGTTTTATACTCTCTGTTAAATTCTGAATGTCCATGGTATTCATAAGTTGCCCTGTTAACAAATAGAGCGGGGAAAATCCCGTGGTTTTTTGGATAGTAGTATTAAGGGTCAGTTGTAACTTGGGGAGAACGCTCGCCCATTCTGACTTATTATTATTGACATTTACTCTGAGCAGGTCTAGAACTGTTGAGACGTATCGCTCTACCTGCCCATTTCCGCGTGGGGCACTTTTGGCAATTAGATGTTGGGTAATGTTTAATTTTGAGAGTAACTCTTTTACTTGTTGGTCGCTAAAATTAGTTCCCCTATCACTTATCAACCGTTTAGTGTTCCCAAAAATATTTAAATAAATTTTTAGGTTTTTACAAGTCTCAGGTCCAGAAAGGGTTTTTAATGGAATTAGAAATAATTATTTCGTGAATGCGTCTATTAAAAGAAGAACATGTTTGTAACCCTCTGATGTTAGAGGAAATGGTCCTACACAGTCGCAATGCACTGTGTGAAATGGAATTGGGGTCTTTTCGATAGGGTGTAATAGTCCTTGTTTGCGCCCAGTGTGTTTTTTATTTACAATACATTTAAGGCAGTGGTCACAATACTTTTTGACGAAACGTGCCATTCGCGGGAACCAAAATAATGATTTAGCTTTGCGAAGGTCTTATCCGGTCCAACGTGCGACTGTTCGTCGTGAAAAATTTTTAACAAACCGAGTCTACTTCCCTTTGGAACGAAAGCCCTGTAAATTGGTGGGTTTTGGCCCGGGTTAATTTTTCGAAATAGAACTTCGTTTTGACAGTAGTAGTCGAGGGTTAGCTGACCTTCGAGTAATTTTGATTTGATATCACGAGTTTCGGGATCGCGCTTTTGGTTAATTTTAAGCCAGTTATTAGTTGTAAGAACATTCACGGGGGCGACGCATTCGATTTCTTCAAATGGTTGAGGTGGGTTTCGGCTAAAATAATCGACGTGTGGAATATATTTACCCTTCCGATATTCGATATTAAAGTTAAACGATTGCAGGTAGAGCCACCACCTCGCGACTCTGGGCAATAAGTCTTTTTTTTTCTGAGTCAATTTTAGCGAGTTGCAATCAGTGATAAGTTTAAATGTGATTCCATATAAGTAAACGCGATAATGTTTTACTGCATAATAGACGGCTAGAGTCTCAAGCTCGTATGAGTGGTAGTTACTTTCCTCCTTTGAAGCACGTTTTGAAAAATAAGAGATGACTTTAAGTTTATTATCTACTTTTTGGAAGATTATAGCCCCGAACCCCAAAGAGCTCGCGTCTGTATGAAGTTCCGTGTCTAAAGTCGGGTCAAAGATCGCTAGGAGAGGTCGTTGAGACAGAAAGGCACAAACGTAGTTTTTGGCAACTTCTTGTTCGGTTCCCCACGCAAAATCGACTCCTTTTTTTGTTAGGTTTGTAATACAAGCTGTGCGCGTTGAAAATTCAGGGATGTACTTGCGAAAGTACCCGGCTAGGCCCATAAATTGGCGGACCTGTTTTACATTTTTTGGATCGGGCGCATTGAATAAAGCTTTTAATTTTCCTTCGTCGGGCCTTACACCATCTTCGGAAATTTCTCGACCAAGATAAACAATTTTTTCTGAAAAAATTTGCATTTGTTAATGTTTAAGCTGAAGCCCGCTGAGGTAAGGGACGCTAGGTTTTTGATGGAATGATTACGTCGTCCATATAAACCAGCGCATCGGTATCTTTGAGCTTACCCAGAGCTTTACAAATCGCCCGTTGAAATACTGCAGGGGAATTCGATAGACCAAATGGTGAACGCCGGTATTCAAAATGCCCGTCAGGCGTGACAAAAGCTGTTTTGGAAATAGAGTTATCAGCCATAGGAATTTGATGAAACCCCGCTGCCATATCGAGAGTCGTAAAATACTTGCTTCCCCCCAGCTGATCAATTTGGTCGTCTATACGTGGCAATGGAAACCGATCTTTAATGGTTATTCCATTAGGGGCGCGATAGTCTACGCATAAACGTCGGCTGCCATCTTTTTTGTACACCAGAATAACTGGACTAGCAAAAGGCGACGTGCTTTCACGTATGATATTGTTTTGCAAGAGGTCGTCAATAATATCTTTTACCTTTTCTCGTTCGGACAATGACATTCGGTAAGGGTTATAACAAATTATTTAATCGGTTTTTAATTTGATTTCCATTTCACCGGTTGTTACCGCCCTCACGGAATTACCAATAGTTATAGAATCGCTATATTTTGATAATAATTTCAACACGACGTCGAAATCATGTCCATTCAGTGGTGTTTGAATTTTCTCGGGAGAAATTGTTACGTTTTGAATCTTTTTCGATTCTATGTTATTTGTGTCATCGAGATAAATTCTAGACCCACATGAGTCAGTGCAAATTCTGATTCCTTTATGATTAAATAAATCTCTACCCAAAATTGCATCTAATTCCATAACAGAAGTTTCGACAACATAAAAACTAATTTCAAATGCCGTCTCCTCTCTCTCAACTAGTAAATTAGCCCTTTGACAACTTGGTATTGAGTTGCCTCCTACACCCTTTAACATTATGAAAGTTGGTTCGAAATGACAGTGTAATTTATGGGCGACTTCTTCGGATAGCAAACTACATTCTGCACCCGTGTCGATCAAACAGTTCACGGTCAAATTTTGTATTTTGAATTTTATGCAAAAGTCATTATCTAGATCTACGCAGAAATAGTTTATTTTGGAGAATCTGGACGACTTCTCTGCTTTATTTTGACTTTTGAAGAAGCATTTTTCAGAATTATGCCCGAATTTCTTACAGATCTCACAGGCTTTCGCAATACTTGGCAGATTATTTGAGCTTCTCGCCTTATTAGTATTATCGTATTTGAATAATTTAAGCGATTTAAAACAATTCCGGCTGATATGACCAGGTTTTTTACAGGAATAACATATTTTTCCCTCATCATTATGTCTAAACGGATTCGGGCGTTTTGGCGCCCCTACTTGAAGCTGAGAGTCTTGTTTATTAATTTGATAGTTGCTAAGCAAGTAAGGTCGAAATGGAATCAACTCTACTATTAAAAGCAGCTGTTTTGACATGTGTGTCCGTTATATCACCAATAACTATCTCAACTATTTGACTATCACTCAAATTAAAATCTAGAGAGTTTAACAAAGATATTTTTTTCCTTGCGTACTCACAATATCCCGTGGCTTGGTCACTTCTGTACATACTAGCTTTACGTAACCGCTCACTAAGATTCCTCTTCGCAGGATAAAGCTGACAAAGCTCGGCCCGGAAACTAGCCCAAACTTTATTTGATGGGTGCCAGTTGTCATACCAATCCTTTGCGTCACCTTCCAGGGCACCCGCGGCTCTGCAAAGCTGTTCAAAATCAGTCCACTTGAACGTGGTCGCCAAGGTCTCCATATCATCGCACCAACCCATCGCTCCCGCATCGCTTTTTGAGGGATCGAAAGCTGGAATGTTAATTGGCGCAGAGGGTGCTGGCACCACCGGCGCCGCTGCGGCTTGTTGGGGTTGCTGCTGAATTCCTCGAAGAACTGCAGTTAAAACGCTGGTTAATTCCTCCATTTCGACAGACTTTTAGCACTTAAGTATCACTGCCAAAAGTAACGCTCACTAGGTATATACGCTCAGGACAATGAATTGCTCACGCACGCACACTCGAAATAAGTCAGGTTGCACTATGTATTTCTTCTGTGGTCCTTTTAGCGAGTTGAATCCCACTTCTGATATGAGAAAATTATCATTCTCCTAGGGAAAATCAAACACTTCATAACTTCCATTACATGTATTCACTCCAGCATCTGTTACAAGACTGACTATGACTAACCACCTTGCCCACAAAAACACATCGCAGCACATCGGAATATTCACGGTCGCCAGAAGTAAACAAAACATATTCAATAGACAAAACATATTCAATAGACAAAACATATTCGATGGCGTAGCGTAGCGATTCAGCGAAAGGCTCACATATATACAGGGTGACTTCGAAGTTGAGTCATTTATTTTAACAGTGAGTAGATCTGATCAAAAGAAATGTTTTTATCCTTTACCATTTTTCTGGTAAAATTAAAGTAACAAAGTTATAGCCCTTTGGAAGTTTGAGTACCGCACTGTCTCAATAATGATATTGGGTGATATGCATAAAAGCGAGTGGCTACTTTTGACTCGCATTTTTAAAGTAGCCACTCCATTTGATATGCATAAAATTGTAAGTAGAAACTCACACTCATAAGTTTCTACTCTTTCCATGAGGCTGTACTCGCTCCTTGAGTGCCGACTTTAATTTTTGTATGCATAAAAGCGAGCGTCCACTCCGACCGCTGAGTACATACTTAAAGAAATGCGAGATACCTTAGTAGTAGACTCAGCTTTATAAGAAATGGATGTCTTCACGAAATGGCCGAATTTATGCCTATTTATCAGCCTACGAATGTGTTTAAAGATCGTAGGAAATCAATGAAAGTAGACTATCGGGCCTTATATCGGTTTAGTAAAGTTAAAATAAGTAAGTTTAATAAGTAACCAGTTTTATGTTTTGAATCTCCTTCATTATATTTAACTCCTAATTATGCTTCTACCTTTTCTTTTATTTCTTCAACCGCCTTACGGCGTTTATTTTTGATTTCCGAGATGTTTAATTATATTAACAAATACTGTTTGATGTTCAGATGAATGGTCTTCAGAATAGGTTGACATCATGTAAATGAACAAATAATAATCGACCTAAACACCACCGACACAAACGTTTACCGGTATACAGTAGTAACTGCTCGCAATAGAGAAATTGCCAATTCGGCGAGACAACAAAATACAAGTCGGAACTCGAAAACCAGAGTGCCTACTCAAGTATTTCATTAGAACTTGAGTAGCCTCTCCGTTTCTCGATAAATATTTTATGCATATCAAAACTGAGTAGGCTCTCCGTAACAGGAGTAGTTACTCGCTACAATATGGAGTCGCTACTTCTGAGAACCCACTCACCTTTATGCATATCACCCATTATGTTCTCGTGTTTGGCAACAACAGATTTAATCCGCCTTATCCGTTCATCGCATCGGAAACAAAAAAGCGAAAGAATTTGGAACGATCTTTTTACAATTATTTTCTTCAGTTGTATACAGTCAGTATCAGTCGGTAGTCGGTAACGCGTAAGTGAATAATCGTGTCTGTTGCGAGGCTCAAATCAAAAATGGCACATGTTTACGAAAATGCTGAACTTGTGGACATGGTTCTTATTTACAAAATGCTGCCGCGGCATCACGGATCTATGCGGATCGGTTTCCCAATCGAGTGCAACCAACCCCTCGTGCCTTTGTTAATGTAGTGCAAAGAGCTCGTGAATCAGGTGACTTAAGACCTCAGAGGGGACCTCACGATCAAATACAGGTCCGCACTGAAATACTTGTCGGGAGGATACTTTATAAAACAAGGTAACATTTTTTTTTTAATTTTTTTTTATTTTTACACACATATTTTGGTTTATCTTCCTTCTACAATCATTATCTGAAAATTAATGACTCAACTTCAAAGTCACCCTGTATATACTCTTAAAATTTGAAAATCCTCAGAATCAAAATGCTTACAATACAACTTTGTGAAAAGATTAATATTTGCTTATCTTTTTCAAATTTTGAGGTCTTTATAGATCACAGCGAGGCTTTTTGTTTTTCTAAGGGTAAAAGCTTTTCCCAATGGACCAGATGAATGAAAGTGAGAGAAATATTCGAGAATACTTGTGCTTCAAGTAAACTTTGAATCTACAAAAGAAGTAAATCTACAAAGTAAAATAAATAAAGGACACTAATTCTCATGGACTATTTCTATTCCTAATTGAAGCAATCCTAAGTTGATCATATAGATGGAAAAAAAACGCAGTCATAGGCATCACATTTTATAATACTATAGATATAGAATATATTTCAGTGATTCTTCAGTAAAGATGCGTACTATCAACAGAGGGCGGTTCCAGATATTCTCCAACTTCATTTGACTCAAATGGTCTTGAAAGCGCAATGTTATGAACAGATTCTAATACCAGACATGATGCCAAAATTTTCAGTACTTGACACCATGTACCGTTGGAATACCACGCACACCCACCATAAGAAGGATGGATTCAGATGGCCGAACAGAGCCGATGTACGTTGTGAGTCGACAAATATAGGGTGTTGATTTGAAAATTTTCCACCACGGATTTATCGAAAAACACTGATTAAAAGAAAAAATGCCGAGACACGTAAAAAGATTTGTCAATGGGCAAAACTTTTTAACCAAAAACTATCTCAGAAAATTAGAAAAATCTTTATTTTAATTTGCTCGAATAGAAAACAAAAACACACCAAAGTATCACGTTTTATTTCAATAAGGGCCAATTTCACCAACATTAATATTTAACGGTCCCTTGGACCAATGGGAAAATAGCTTATCGAAATGCAATTTGACGGAAGCTGTCAAAGATCTCTGAATATCAGTGATTTCTATTGAAATGTCGAATAAAGTCGGGAAAAAATGGTTGCCTTATAAATTAGGGTACATTATAGATGTAATATTATGTCTTTGTGCTTTAGAATCAGGATAGCTTTCATAGAATTTCACTTTCACACATAACTGTCAGTTATGTAAATGGACCAATCATAATGATAGAAATAATAGGTCGATTTTCTAGCTATTATATTTGGTAGGATGTTTTCACTGTTTTCGACGACTGTTCATGCATGGCAATCTAATTTGTCTGTATGTCACGTACATGGTCTTGTACAAAATACGTACCTATAGAAATGTACGAATTTTTGCAATTTTGCAAAAAAAAGGATATAAAACGTATTCCAACTGGTTCATCATCTTTTGTTACATCAAAAATAATTTTTGCCAATTTATGATCTAGAAATCCACACCAAATGTAAACAAACAGCACATTCTGCATTTCAGGGTCCTAAAACATCGATATTTGTAAAAGTATCCGCATCCACCTATTATTCAACGTCTAGATTCTAGATATTATAAGTCAGAATCAAAAATACCTATTTATGGAAACATATCTCCAAACATTGTTTTATTTTATTATTTTTATTAGTATAACACATCTGGGACACAAAACATATACACTGAAGAAGGTTTAATTCTATGCTACTCTATGGCAACACCGTGACTTGCATGGTTGTCCGCGGCCATTTTTTGAGGGTGCGACATTGTTGTGATACTATGCACCAGCAACACTGCTTTGTTTACAATATGAGTTTCACCCCCCTGGTCTGGGATATCAATTGCTTTCAATTAAAGTGAACTGCACATCTGCAGTGTTGCCGAACCGGCAAAAGCCGGACTCGGCAAATAGTGTCGTTGAATTCGGTATAAGGTAAATGCCGTCCCAAGATCAGTGGTAGATGAATGACCTTTGAGTCATAAAAGACGTCTGTTATTGTATTGAGCGCGCACACAACATGTTTTTTGAGGGCATAGTTCTATATTACAACTTCTACAATGTGCATACTGGTCGTTCTTTCAAAGTACTTTGCAACCATTCTGGAAACTTCTTTTTCGATTCTTGCTTATAGTATTGTATATATTTTTCTGTTTTACTCTTGAACTCATGAACTCACCTCTCATTTTAATTAAATATTTATTTTGAAAACAGGCCGCTTTCGGTTTGTTTATTGCTTGTCCGGTGGTGAGGTAATCTACCAGTCTGTACCTTTTGTATGCACAAAAATCAAGTTAGGGCAAGTGGTGTAAGGGATGAAGATGTACGTTCGTAATCATAGGCAACCCAAATCTACCCCTCTCATGTGCTCGACTGCCTGAGTGGGTATGCATATGTATGATAGATATGAAGCATAAAACTATAAAGATTACGTAAAATTAACTTTTAGCTTTATTTTTGGTTTCAGCTCTTTTTCGGCAACTATAGAAATATTTAAATTATTTTGAAAAATCGTGGAGAATGATGTTATCGGTAAATATTCTCTTTTTGGTAAGAATACCGAAAAATTCGGTTCAAGTCCATGCATAGACATTCTGAAATTTGCAATATGAATTTATATTCTACATTCTATGCATATCCGTTCATATTCGTGAATATTTCATTTGAAGCCCTTCTTTGTCAAGATTTTATCAAAATGTAAGATAGTTAAGGCAACACCACACCCTGCATCCCAGTTGACAAGAACGACAAGCTGTCAAGATTAGGGATGTTTAGATCCACGAAAAGTATCGTTATGAAGGTATCGATCTCTATCGTTTTAGGAAGTATCGATACTCTAAAATATTGGAATAAAATTATCGATATCCAGCGGAAGAAAAGCAATCTGAAGTTAGTCACTCTTTCTGACACAGTCCGGATCAAAAGATGACGATACTAGTGAAATGTATTGATACTTCTAAATACAGGATCGTATCGAACATTCCTACTGTCAAGATGTATAACCCCAGGTACCGACGGAGCTATTTTACGGCGTCATGGAAATAATTTTAAATTTTCATATGCATTTTTTCAAGTGTTGTGCGACGATTTTGGGAAAAATTCCACGAATAGTCTTATAAAGCATATTTAGAGTATATTTCAA